CTCCTCCACCCCTCCCCCCTGCAGCTGAGCGCCACGCCCCCTCCACAGTGGGATGGTAGGATGACCCAAGTCCACACAAGTCACACCAAAATGCATCCTAGGAAAAATAGTTGGAAAAAGCAATTGTGACTGCACTTTACTCGATGCAAACTCTGAACTTGGGCAGAGTGAAGCTGAAACCAACTAGATGAGTACAAACACTAAGAAAAGGTGAGGGGTCTGCCCCACTTTTGTGCTGCTATTTGTCCACCGCCTGCAGGTTGCTCTGACATTAGGTTTGTGTCCTCTGAGGTGCTGAGGGGAGCGTCAGCAGCTCTTTATCAGCACCACGAAGTGGCAGCTGATCAGAGAGGGGGTTCCTGTTCCTGCACTTAATCTCTCCAGATGATCAGATGGATCTTAACATTTTCCAGGCCCGATCGGCCATTTCTGCCCAGTTGAAGAAGAAAGCTGCTTTGGGAAAGTGCAAAGCACAGCCAGTCGGATGGGGTTAGACAGCAGATGGTTTTATTGGTTCAGACCCTTCATTTCATGCTAAGCGAAGCAACATAATCACATTACTAGCTTTAGTTTGAGTGACACGTCGTCAGTGCGTCTGATGTGGAGGTGGAGCTCAGGGGCTCCTTGTCAGCGCCATCCGGGCTGGGGAACGCCGCCGTGATCCTCCCCACGCAGCAGCTGGGGATGGCGGGCTGCGTGTCGCTAGGCAGGATCCCCAGCCTCCAGCTGATGTACTGCTCGTAGGCGCATTGCCGCAGGATGGCGCCCCCAGCCCCGCCCGCAGGGGCCCACAGGGGGTCCCGGTGCAGCAGCACGGCCTCCAGCAGGGGGCGTCGCAGCACCAGCTTCTCAAACAGAGGGGACGAGGTGATGCAGACGCCGTCGCCACGCCTGCAACACAGCTGCTCTTGCAGGAGCGAGGACGCGGAGCAGCCACCGCACCTGCACCACGAGGGCCGGCGGCCTTTAGGGGCCGGGGCGGGAGCGGCGTCTTGGTCCACGCCTACAGCCGGCTGCAGGAGAAAGAGGACGGCCCCCAGGTGTCTGGCGTCCTCCTAATGGGACAGAAAAGGCAGCTTGACTAACATGTTTAAAATTCATTTAGAACTTTCATTGATTCTACCATTAAAAATTAAACAAATCTCTCTAATGAGTCTTAACTTTGCTTTGCTTCCACTTAACTGCCATAAAATGACATGGGTGGCTCCATAGTTTGCTTTTTTAATGATTTTTACACATCAACAGATGAGCCTCTGATCCAAACTACAGTCCAAAGAATTCAGATTCCTGCTGGTTTTCCGCCAGAATGAGGCATCGTTTCCTAGAAATGAGCTCCGTTACAGCATCCATTCCAGAAATGAGGATAAACCTTATGCTGATGTGTTGACACAAGTCAATTAAAAGCTGGAAAACAGAGTGGTGGGATCATTTTAGACTTCCTGCTTTGGAAAATAGACACTTTGGGAGGCGGGAGGACAACAGCTGAGACTATTTGCTGCCATTAAAAAAAAAAACTGAAATGCTTTCAGATCAGTATCCGTATAATCTCTGACATGTAGCAGTCAGTGGTTTCCATTCACCTGTGATCCTCTGATAGGAACCAGAGAGAATAGAATTCACATCATCAGCTTATTTTCCTCTAGAATCAGCTCTAATTTTAAGTAAATGTTCTCCTTAGCTGATGAACAGGAAAACCATTCTGTGTTTGGTTTCTAATGTTAAGCAGAACTCACTTTATATTTTTACAGCTGACTCAGTGGACTGCAGGATTCACAGAGCATCCCCCCCGAAACTCATTTGGATTTTTCTTTTTCAGAAGCACCAACTCCTAACAGCTTTTTTAGGGTTTTTCCCACCAGGCTGCAGCTCCTGGTCCCAGCTGCATTTTAGGCCTTACCCTTCTTTCTTGAACAGACATTGGCTTTACGTCTTGTAAACTTTTCTTGTGCGACCGCTTCACCAGTCGAAGTTTTGTCTCATCGATGTAGGAAACGTAGAGGATGCACTTCAACACAGACAGTTAAAGGCCGTCAGTCTGCAGCCGCTCAGCCCAAACAAAGTCCCCATCAGTGGCTTATCCGAGCCACTTTTCACCTGCTGCGTGTCTGGGACTGACTCCACTTTCCTTTCCGAGTAGTTCTGTCCAACCTCTGCGGAGTAGCAGCTGGTTTCAATCAGCCAATCGATGAACACCGTCGTCTGGAAGTAAACAGGTGAGAAGAGAAGGAGGACGACACATTTTAAAGCAAAGTTGGTGTTTTTATATATAACATCTACTCAAAGTCATCCATTTATTCAAGTATAAACAGCCTTTTTAAAAAAAAATCAAAGTCCCGTGAGTCAATGTGAAAAAAATGAAATACCTGTTGATAAAGTATTTTTCTCTACACTTTAATGAAAACGATAATCTGTTTTGGTCACTTTATTTTTACTTCACCTGTCAGGGTTATTATGAGTAAGAAATGGACCATTTAGCTAATTATTTTAGTTCAAACAGGTTTTTCTCAGTGGTCTGATACTTTTTTCCAGCTTTGCATGTTTTAATAAGGAGCGCAATGTTTTTGGTGACATTTTATGTACAGAAAGGTGGTCCCCTGGCATTCAACAGGAGCCCAAAAGGGACAAACCAAACAAACAATAATGTGGTGCAGATTGTGGGCATTTGAATCACCGTTCATTTCAATTGAATTTCAAGGTATTAAAACAGATTATGGAGAAGTTGAAATAATATGCAATACAGATTTTAAAGGTGCCCCCCCCAGCTTTGTCCACAGGCTTCATGAACTGTATTCAGCTCGTCTGCAGAAGCCTGGATTAAAGCCTGATTTCAGACACTGAGGCCCACTGTGCTCATCAGAGGGAGGATGGTGCATGAATGGAGAGGGGTGAGCTCTCACCAGAGCGTAGTACGACAGCGTTGAGCCAATGTAGATGATGAGCTGGATGAAGCTGAACTTTCCCGCCTGAAAAACAAACCAAAGTGCTTGTTTAATCCTCCTCCAGAGCTGCAAAGTTTTACCAAATAGGTCAGAAGTTCCTCAGGGTGAAGAATGCAGGTCCAAATTGAGTTAGCGCTACAGTACAGCTTGTATTGCTCGTCAGTAATTTCATTTTACTAATCATATAAGCCTCATTTATTGAGTCTAAAAATGTTCAAATCACACAGATTCATTCTCATGGCATTAGACTGCTATGCAACAGACTGCTATGCAACAGATTTGATCCTTTACGTCTCTTTTGCCCCTTTAAATAAACTTATCTTTAATGAAACCAGTAAACGATATCTAATAAATGCATCGTATATAAATCGGATGTCAGATTTGATATTTGCTCCCAGATTTTAATTTTCCTTATCATAAACTAATTTAAAAATAAGAAACAAGGAAAAACTAGTTCAAATAAATGTTAAAGAAAAAAGGTAGAACAATTTGTAGAATATTCAAATCTAGAATAAGATTTTACAAATTAGCATTTTCAATGATGACAGGTAAGGGTGCCTTAATTGGTTATAAAAGGAACATCCAACAAAAGGTGTCATTTTTGCTAAACTCAGAAATCAGAAAAATCATCAGTAAGTTTATGGTATTTCAGCATCTTCCGAGCACAATATGATGGAAAAATTTTGATGTGTTTGATGTGTTCTGGCCCTTATAAAATGAACCGAATTAGAAATATTATAAACCTAAATTCAGATAACAGTGCGTCTAATAAAGTCAAAGTCAGTGCTTTAGTTTCAGATTTATGGAAATTATGATATATTAGTATCTTTATGTGCATGTGGAGAACAAAGAGGCTGCTATTCAGTCATGAAGAATCAATTAAAACGGGAACTCCCACCTGTCCGAACACCATGACGTCAAACCTGATGCCAAATGCTTTGTATAGCGTCCGCTCCTCAACTCCATTCACCAAATTGTACTTGGCGTACCTGGTCAGAGGTGAGTGAATACACCATTTCAATCTGAGGAAAAATTATTATTCCTCTCACCATGAATAATGACCCTGCTTTTTATAGCATCTGGAATATTTTTAGGTAAACTTCAAACCTTAAAAATGTACATGACAAAACCTACATGCCCGTAAATAAACCTTAAATTGTTATTATTGCCATGATCGTTAGGGATATTTGTATTATTTTAAAAAAACTCCCGCTCCAGGAATTTATTTCCCTCTTATTGTTCACAATTTGCCCTGTTTATTTGTTAATTTATTTACTAAAATATTTACTAGTTTTTTATGAATATCCCTTGATAAATTGTTTGAATTAATTCACAAAATTAGCCAATATGATAAATTGAATCTTTTTGATCAATATATCAAATGCTTTTTTATTTTCAATTTTGTAATTTTATTTTTTCAAATTTTAAAAATGATTTTGCTATAACCAAAATAATATTTCTATTACTGAACTTGCACATAAAAACTAATTTATTTTTTGATTGGTTCAATTTTTGTTCATCACAATTTATCACCTATTGATGTTTATTTCATTATTATTTGTCTGAATGGAGTAAACATACATCTTCAATACACAGTTTACCCAATACGAGATTTAAAAAAACTTTTGCTCCTTCAGAGATTTACAGAATTTTTTGCCTGCTTTGAGTTTGCAGGTGAAGCACAGAAACCTCCTCACCTAAAGTTCAGGCCGGGGTAAAGCGTCCTGTTGCTCTCTTTCTCGTCCAGCCGTCTGAAAGAGTACTTGGGGAGGCAGCGGTGCATGAATCTGTCCAAGTTACAGTCCCACTCGATCAGAATGCCAATGACGCCCCCCTGTGGTCAACAGAGGAACCACAAATGTAACCTGTAGAACTACTCAGAAAAGCGCCATAGGTTTTTTGTGGCTGTTTCAAAGGTAAAGTATGTTTCTTTGAACCTGTATCCAATCTGAAATAACAGATAAATACACACTGAAAGGACTAAATTAAATGCTGCAGGAATTAGATTTTTTTCACATTGCTGCAGCATTTAATCTTGTCGTTTCAATGTTTATTTATCTGTTATTTCTGATTGGATTCAGGTTAATTTAACTGGTGTTAAAAACATGAAAAACATCTGTCAAAAAGATGTTTGTTTTTTCTTAAAACGTTTTTTGGGGAGCTAAAGGCCTCGATGCAAGCCCGAGTTTGGCTGCATGGTGGATTCACAGCCTAAAACAACAAACTAAAATAACCATAAATAAAGTAGGAAAAACCCCCACTCATGAGGTAGATGTATTTAAATAGACCCATATCAGCACAAAAGAGGAGTTTGAAACTTGTTTCTGAAGTTAGAAGCAACAAGTCACTCATGACAACACTTTACTGAAAGCATCTCTGCTTCAGGGATCAGGATTTCCTCTAAAATGTGCCAATTCTCAGCCTGAACTAACCCAAACACAGCAGAGGAGAAGGCAACAGCAGTGAGATGACTAAAACCAATCTGCAGGAGGATGTTGAAACTGTGAAATTGGAGTCTGTTTTTGTTTCATTTTAAGATGAAAACTGGGTAGCTTTTACAGTCTAACGTCTGCTACAACATCACTCACAAAAGCCACAGTTTCTTTATGCGCAGGAAGTGATCACATTGAGGCTGGAAGTGAAAATCTGACCACAGAGTGGTTTAAATGCACACGTGGAGCCATTGTGAACCCATTTTTCCTCCATATGAATGCTATTTTTGCATAGTTACACACTTGCCAACTCCACAGCTTGTCCACACAAACTGAGGAAATGTTGTTCCTATTTGTGGGTGTGAGATCAGTTTCACTTCCCAAAGCTCTGATCTGGCCTGAGTGTGTGAGTCTAAAGGGGAGCCCACCTCCACAGCCATGCTGGAGAACTGTTCCCCGGCCTCTCGGACGACGTCTCCCAGTCTGAAAATGGGGCAGAGTGGGTCGCTGCCCCAGTGGCAGCTCCTGAGGTAGGCATCGTTCATCTGTGGGAGGATGTTCCTTCTGCAAAGCCAATCAGGACGTCTGAGGAACAGCGAATAACCTGCAAACCCTGATCTAGTTTCACTGTGCACAAACTAATGGAACAAGGCTGAGGCAGAGAGATACGACAAAAAACACCACAAAACAGTCTGGAAATACACCATCAGTAAGGCAGATAAGAATGAATTTAATAATTATAAGACTCATGATAATAATGAATTTCATTATTATAAGACCTATAATAATGACATTATGCACATTGAACCTTTAAACAGCATACAAAGTGCTTTACAGACAAAAAAAATATTCAAACAAGGCTAATTTAACCCCTTAATGCCATATGTGGAACCTATTGCTCCATCATATAGCACAGACAGACAGACAATTAAACACACCCAAAAAAGACCCTCACCGGATGAAGTTGAAGGCTGGAAACCTGATGTTGTTTTTTATGAGAACAGTAAAGTTCTCAGCAGCTCCCAGCAGAGCAGGTCTGCAACACAGAGCCCTCAGATCAGCCCACACAGGGCAGTGATTTTAGACTTCAACAGGAAAAAACAATCTCAGAGGACACTTTAACATCCATTTCACAACAGAGTCACACCATCAGGAGAGTTTGCATCTCCTGCAGAAACTTAACAATACTTTAAATTAGAGACAAAGAGGCTTTGGGATTAATTTTCCTGGCCACAGCATTTCCATTTTTCTGTGATTGATCCATACAAATCAGACACCTGACAGCTTTACACTCCATTAGCTGCTAAATATCTGCATAAACTGCACCTCATGGAGGTGAATCCCCTTAACCCAGACCTCTGTTGGCTCTTAAAAGGTCTCCATTTTTCAGACCCTCTGCTTTCACTCAGGCTGTGTTTGGGATTATTTTCCTCTTTCCTCTTGATTCTTTTCCTCAAACTACAGAGAAGCAAGACGTCAGCCAATAGAAGATTTAACTAACATCACCGGATCCTAAAAGGGGGGCTTGTTTGAGACCCCTTGATAGATTTATGTGGTAACAGATCTATTTCATCTTTCCATTTTTATTCTTATTATGATTAATTAAGACCGCTGCTCAGGGAATTTTAATGTTGTTTAGCAGCTTCACTTTATTTCACCAATAAATAAAAAAATGTTTGTTCATCTTAAACAGGATTTCTAATAGCTTTTCCAACCGAAAAGTTTAATAAATTCTAAAAACGTCTAATTTCTTCTGATTTAAATTGGTTCTTCCCCAGTCTTTGAATCCACAGTCAAATTTTCTTGGTTTCAGATGGAGCTCAGGCTGAAAGTTTTCTGTCAGAAAACAAAGCAAAGTCACCTGGGAGGCGTGGTCTTGGCCTCTACTGGACACCAGGCTGAGACCTCACAGGTCTTCTTCATAGCATCAAACCTCACACACGATCCCGTCTGGATCCCTGTAGGAAAATCAGAGGGGAGGAGGGGTGCGCAGATCTGTCACAGCAGTGAGGAATTCTGGACCTCCTAACACCAATCCCTTTTTCTGACTCACACTTTAGCACCAGAGTCCCAAACTGAGAGGAAGACTGTATATCACAACATTTTTGGGTTGACAGAATTGACACAATAAATCAGCGAAAATGTTAAAAACACTACGATAAAAAGTTGTAAATCAAGCATTTTGAATATCATTCACTGCTGGGTTTATCTAACAAATATGTGGCCCATTTTAATCCCATCAGAAGGGGTACAACTTTTTTTTTTTTTTTTTTTAAAGGGCACAAAGTGTTTCAAAAAGTGGGGAGTACTCCTTTCTGGACTATTTCCAGCAGTGGATGAACACACATTAACCCAGCGTACCGTGGCTCTGCTGGTCCCAGGCTCCTTTCTCACAGTTATTATCAGTGTGGCAGACTCTGCCTTTATGGGGAACCTTAAATTAAAAAGAAAACAACACAATTTTACCTCACTTTAACTTCTGAAAACAACACAAGGATTTTTCAAACTGGTGAAAGCACCTCTGGGCATTTTCCCTGCTTCTGGCTCCGAGTTATGATGACATTTGTTACCACAAAGAAGGAGTTTTTGTCCTGTGAGGGACCGCTGTAGTCCACCATGTCCCAGACCAGGTTCCCGACGCCAGGAAGGCGGGTCTGAGCGACGCCCTTCACCTTGGTGGTGACTGAGCTCACGACCAGGTCAAACTCCTGGTACTTCCTGTTCCACAACATCATGACGCTGAGCGGGAAAAGCAGACAGAACTCTGTCAAACACGCCTAAAACTGTTAAAACTGTCACCTTTCCTCGTTATTCAGCCCGTTATTGTTCGTTCATCCTGCTTCATGATGGATGGATTAAGTAAAAGGGATGTGGCTATAAGAGAGGACAGATTTTCCATACAGCAGCCAAACATTTTAACCGTTTAAACAGTCCCTGACACAGTTCTTTCTTTGAACAGTTTCTACTACATTTTCAGTCAAAATGAATGTGTTTTTTCAACCATTTGGCAGAAAAAGGCCCTAACTCAAGGGATGAGCCAGTGTTGTGTCCACTCAGTAAAGCAGCAGTTTAAAGATCTTCAGGCTCTTTGTTAGCAGCAGTCTTTCACAAAGACGCATAATTGGTTCCAACTTCTTGAGCTGAGGTGTGAAAAAGCCAAAAGATAACACAGTTTGACAGACAGGAAACAGGATTTCTGATGATTCCCAAAGAGCTGTTAGCTGAAAACTTGGCATATCTCAACATGGTGCGCAGTGAGTCCTTAAAACATTTGAGGAAACTGGACAAGTGGAGGACAAAAGAAGAAGAGTTGGGCCTAAAAAACTATCTCCAGCAAATGAAGAGCATCTGAAAGTGAAGTATTTTTTTTCCGTACATACAGCAACTAATTTTCCTTTTCATGAATCAAAAGGCCTTCTAACCCAGGGGTGTCTCTCAAGCCCTCTTTGTCCTGCAGGTTTTAGAAGTTTCCTGCTTCTGCACACCTGATTGTGATGAAATTGATCTGTTCAAAAGCCCAGCACAAACCTGACAACGTCTCTGTTAAACGTTTGAGAAAAAGAAACTTTGAGGAGCGTTGAGCATCTGACCGTCAACTGTCTGCAGAGGACAGAATCACAGCCTTTGAATAAATCAGGCATCCTACAAAGAAACCCTAAACCCACACGGTCCGGCCCTGTGTGGTAATTCGGGCCGCTTATTCCCTCACAGGAGGCGCAGGAAGCTGCGCGCCCTGCAGAGGGATGCGGGGGCCGAGCCCTCTCACGGACTCACCAGATGAACAGCAGAATGGCTCCGTTCAGGCTCCACTTCAGAGAACCGAGCCGGACGCTTCGGATCCGGACCAGCTTGTTGGTTTGATACTGACACAGACCGAGCGGGTCGCAGAGCGGCATGCTGCTGGAGCTCTTTTTGGGACTCTTCTGCTGGACTTTCGGCTCTGGAGGAGGGAGCTGTGAGTCACAGGGTGCGCTTCCTGTAGGGGGGTCACATGTCCCGCAGCTGCCAGCGCACTTCAGGACTAATAAACAGCTGAATTTTTAATCTGATTAAAGATGCTTTAATAAGTAGAACGTGTGAATTTTTTGTTATCATACAAAGCCTTACTTTGGTCTTAATTCATTTTTACGTGTGGGATATAAGAGTAAATGAGAAGATAGAAATAGAAGTTCAAATAATCCAAATCAGCGTTTAGAAGCCAGCGACTGGTATAGTTTCCATTTAAAAGGTTAAATTAGTCCTACCGGAAGTATTTACTACATTCCGAATATAAGAAATGAAAATAAAAATAAAGCAGTTTTAAATACAATCAGGCAGTTTTAAAGATACAATATTTTTTATAGTATAAATTACCATTTTGTGTTTTGTAATTGATACATTGATTTAATAAATGAAATATTTTATAATAATTTAGTTTTATTAAAGTGTTTTATGAATGGTAGATCTATGAATAATTATTTACATTATTTCCTATTGTTTTGTTATATTCTAGCACATTCAAACTAAATTAATTATTCATTATATGGTTTAATCTTTTAATTCTATCTTCTTTGTTGGTATTTTGTCAAAATGTATTATACTGCTGTTTTATTTGGGTCCCATTAAGTATATAATCACTCTGTCCTTCTCCTTTTGTATTAATTTTCTTTGTCTGGTGTTTTCCGGCCTGAAAATTATTTTTTGTTGAAGTGTTTTTGATAATCAAAATCAATTAAAAAAACTGAAGGTCTATAATTAAAGTGTGAGTGAGAAAAAGGTTAAACTTATTGCGATTTGGGACAAAATCCTGCACCAGTTACATCAGAAAGGACCATTGAGCTTATTTTCTGGTCTGTTTAGCTCTGTGAAGCAGACATGTATAAGTGAAATCAAGTCAGTGAGAGCCAAGAATCAGCTTCCTTCATGCAGATAAAGAGCTGTTGTGTCCAGCAGGACAAGCGGATTGTTGTGTGGAAGCCGACCACATCAACAGATACTGACTCATGCTCTGGAATGTCAGTGTCCAGTTTTCTCAGAGGAAAAGGTCCCAGATCACACGCAGAGACACAAAAGTAAAGAGAAAAGTAAAGTTAATAAAAAAGTTTATTTTAACGGTGAATGTGTCTTTTGTCTTACATTCGGGGGGTCTCTTGTGGCTCTTTGTGGGGGTATAGACACACCTTGTGTAATCAATTCAGGTTTGTCTTGGTGGCACAGCTCACTCTCTCTCTCTTTCTCTACCTCTCTCTCTCTCTCTCCTGATTAGTGATTGTCCTCACCTGTGCAGCTCCCTATTTAAACACACACTCTTCTTCTACTCAGTGAGATCATCTGCCTTTGCCACAGCGTTTAAGTTTCATGTGATTATCTGTGTACTGACCCAGCCTCCCTATAACCACTGTAACTGCACTTCAGATCTGCCGTTACTGAAACTTGCCTGCCTCTAACCCAGTTGTCTTTTGGATTTTTCTGGATCTGAGATCCTCGTCTGATCCTGGACCATCTGTGGACTATTACGTTTTGTGTCAAGAGTGGGAGCCTTGACCCTTGTCTGAGACCACAGTTTGGCTGAACTGCTATTCAAGATCCCCCTCAACCTTTTTTTTTGTATCTCTTCGTCTTGGCTGCGTTTTGAGTTCTGGCCTCATACTGTCACACCCACTCTCACACTCACTCACTCATATCCAACCCCCCAGCTGTCTTTGTGGCCTTATTAAGTTTTAGTGATTTTAGTTGAGTTGTCTGCTATTTTGAGAATTAAAACCTGAATTTGGCTTTTAGAGCTTTTTTTATGGTTTTTATTTCAAGCTCCGAGTTTATTTTTGGTGACCGAAGGTAGTCTGATGAACAGTTCTTGTTCTTTCATTGTTTCTGGTTCTAGTTTTGGTTATCTTTTCTGTTTCCTGCATTTTGTAATTAAGGCTACCCTTGGCGTTTATACTCTGTTTCTTAAATTTATAGGATTTTGTGTATCATTGCTTTACTTTACTTTGCTCTCCTGTATTGATTAATCTTAAGCTCCTTGCTCCCCGTTTTCCTCCTGGACATTTCTGCTGCTCAAACTTCTCACCTTGTCAGCTTTCTATGATCTTTTCCAGCTGCTTACGGGTTCTGCAAAAGCCCAAATCATCCTAAAACTTCCACGGAGCTGCAGACGTTTCCTCCCTCCTCTTAAACACTGGGAGATGAGACACATCTGCAGATGCAGGGTCAGTGGTTTTCCTGCCAGGAAGCGTCAGGGTTTCTTCATGTGAAATAACGGCACTGCTCAAAAGAGAAGAAATGCTTGTCTCTTTTCTCATTTTGCTCATGTTGAAAATGAAGATGCTTTGTCGTGTTTATTTTGAAGGTGGGCATTCACCAAGAAAAGTTTCCATACATCAGCCCAGCTGCAAAAGCCTTTTATTCAGCCGGTTCACAGAAAAACACTCAAACAAATTGTGTTTTTTGTCTGAATCGTCCTTAGCGGAAAAGCTTCTGAAATTTTGACTTAAGCTTCTCCAGCCCGCTGCTGTTCTGCATCTTCTGCTGCATGCCGGCGGCATCCATCACATTCTGGTGAGCTTGGTCAAACAGCTTCTCCCCGAGCTCTTTCTTCACTCTGTCTCTCCAAGCCAGCAAATTCGTCCGGCCCTCCAGCACATTCACGCCCACGCCTAGAGGCTAAAGGAACCCACACATCCACAGTAGTCGGTTTAATTCTACAAAAAAGTCTCAGATTAAGACACAGAAGTTTCCACTTCAAATTAAATAACAATCCTGTCGGAGTTCTACAGTTAAAGCAGAAATGAGTGTTTTATAGAGAATCAAGTCTGTCACTGAGTGCAGTTTGTTTTGGAACGTCCCCCATTCAAAAGAGGCGGAACATCTCTGTTGTCACATTCACTCCATGTCTACCTTCATTCAACCCTCCTGCTGTCTTTGGCTCAGTTTGCTGATCTATAAATCTAAACTCTGACATGTAGGCAAAGGTTTTTTATTGACCTGTGAGCCTCTGATCATAACCAGAGGGGAAATAATTCACAATTTTGTCCTTTTTCTCCTTCAAAAGTGAACTCTAACTTCAGTAGATGAGCTCTATTTTACCAGATATTACAGAAATAACAGTAAAATACATATTTATGTGTGTTGGAAACTAACAAGTGATCACCTCTTTCTTTATCAGAAGTCAAATAGACCAGACAGGTAAAAAAGTGGGCAGTAAAAAAGACTAAAGGAACATTTCAATAGTGAATTGACTGTCTTAGTTCACTGAGTGGTTTTGTTTGATGGCATTTATCTGATTGTTAAATAAGTAAATCAGCAGTGACGTTTCATTCTGACTAATGCCATTCGGTTCCCTCCACAGCTACATTTGTGGCTGCTTTGCTCTCTGGTCACCACAGCTCGGCAAGCTTTGGCACTAAAATGAGCCTCTTTACCTGCATGACTTCCACCACGGCTGCCACGTCGGCCAGAGAGATTTTGTTGCTGACGATGAACGGCTTTGTCTGGAGGAATTTCTGCTCCAGCAGGTCCAGGGACTGATTCACATCCTCCATCGCAACATCCATCTTCTCCTTGGGGGCTTCAAAGCCCATCGCAAATGGAAACAGAGCCTGAGTAGAGTCACAGAAATCAGGGACGCTAAAAAGAAGATGTTGATGAGACAGCTGCAAACGTGCACTGAGGTACCTTATAAATAAAACCCTCAGTGAGCAAAAAGCTAACTGATGCAACCAATGACTAACCACTAGCTAAAACTTAACACCAACAGCTAATAACGCCTCTGGAGGACCTCAAAACAAAGAACCAAAAGTATTTCACAAGTGGAGGCAGCATGATGCATGAACCCGAGGCAAAGAGGCCAAACTGCTTCATCTGTTTTTCTCAGCATCGTCTCAGCTGGAAAGAGCTAAGTCTCAGGGAGGAAGTGAGAAGGCATGTTAGCATAAGGAAAAGCATCCAAAATCAGCGTCAGCTGGATGAAGTCCCAGCAGCTGCAGCTGCTAACTACATGCTGAGGGGCTCACAGGCGTCTCTCTTTCCAAAAGCTGGAGGTCAGATCTATCAGCAGCCAAAATATTGCAAAATCTACATGAATGTTTGGCAGTTTTGCACGCAAGTTCAGTCTTCAGGGATCTTTAAAAGAAAACATCACGAGGTCAAGAAAACACCAACTATGGAACTATGGAGGGATTCTCAAGAGAATGTATGTGCAGCGATGGTCTGACTTTCTATATCGTATATTCACAAAGAGCATTAGATATTTCTCTGTTTGCATCTTAGAATCCTCTTTAAATTTCGGAAGTGCTTTATTTATGTCCTGTTATTCATCACATGGTAATGTGAAAGCCTTGGACAGCTAATTCTCCAAAGCATAAGAAATAAAGAGCAGGCATCTATGATGCCAGTAGGAAGAAAACTGCCAAAGGGAAGAGGAAGTTAAAGAATTTCTCCCTCTGATCATCATGGGGAATGTGAGCTCAGTGGCAGATAAAATGGAGGATATTGTAACCCAGGAATATGAGTGCATGGCTGCAGGAGCAGCTCTGACAGCTCTCTGTCAGCTTTAAGAGTCTCCAGTCAGGCAGAGCCTGAAGATGGAGTGGGAACAGAGAACGGAGGAGAATCCTGGAGAACGTCTACAGCCCGGATGTTGAGTTTATGCCCATGTTGTTACTGAAAGTTCACCCGAGTTACCTGCTGATGCTGTGTGACGTCATCATTAACACTTAACACGAAGTATAAATCTATTAGAGCACCAATCCTCGACATGTTTGCATTACAGGCCGGTTCTTAGAGAGACTATTTCACAACAGACCGCAATTATATCCACATAAAGTTTCTTTTCTGATAGTTTCTGATCCAGTTTCCAAATATAAGATAAATCCTGAAGTATGAAGACCTAAAACGTTAGTAGAATTCCTGCTATCTCCTCTTAAACGAAACTTTCTTTTTGCTGTCTCAGCTTTTTTCTCACGCTGCTAATGGTTAATTGGCTAAGCAGGATAAAAACTCTGTAGAATGATACAAAACTTCTTCCAAACATATATTTCACCATTCATTCTTGTGTTGCCAGAAGGCCTTTCAACTTTGGAATTATACTCTAAAATAGCAGGTTTGCAAAAATTCATGATATCAAGGAATTTGATCAGTAACAATGACTGTGTTATGAGGAGTTTACATTTAACTTATATTGATCTCTGAAACAGAAGGGAGAGCTGAACAGATAAATCTGTGAGATGCAGCCAGTCAGTAGAGGACAAAAGAAGGGTCAGATTGGGGCACGAACCTTGAGCAGGAAGACCTTTGAACAGTGAGCTCTGAGGTTCAAGTGCTGCCAAGACAAGTACTCATTAACACGAGCCTGCTGCTGCGGGTCGGCTGGAAACCAGTGATCCTCCACAGCTGGACACTTCTGCACCAGGTACTTCAGGATGGCAGTGCTGCAACACACACCAGGGACAAGAAACAACACAAACCAGCAGAAAGACTTAAAAGCCATTTCAGAGGAATTGGTGACTTAAATTTAAACAGTTACTGACAATCAAAACTCACTTTCAAGGGCACAAATCAGTTTTGGTTCAGACCAATAATACGAAATAGAAAAAAGGCCCCAGATTTTAATAATCAAATCTATTTAGATGTAACCTTATTTGAAATATGGTATGTGACATGCGGCTTAAAGCAAAAACAGTCTAAAGACCTAATAAATGAGCTGAGGTGTGATTGAGCATCTGTCCTCGCTGCTTGGTGCTGACACAGTGGAGACAACCACTGTGGGTAATGTGGGCTTCCCCAAGTCAAAGACTTTAGCTACAACCTGAAGGTATCAACAAAATCCCACCACCTTCATGGCTGAGACTTACTACTGTTTGAGGGTGGAATCTATGGTTTGGTGTTACAGAGACAATCGGACTCCATGTCAGATCAAAAGATTGTTAGAGGATTTGATTGACTGCTTAAAAAGTTTCCACCGAAAGCTCAACTCGTTGACTCAAAGTCAATAAGATCCCAAATGTGAAACATGAGTCTGGAAAACCAATTTCAACATCAGTAGCTTCACTCACATCACCATGTCGGTGAGTTTCAGAGACTGGCAGAATCGCTGGTTAGGAAACTTAAATCAAGACCTTTGTCATACCTCTCTGTCAGAATGAAGCTTCCATCCTTCAGAACAGGAACCTTCTTCACAATGCTGACCTTTTCAAATTCCTCATTGTACTGGTGCCCTGTGAGACAAACACACACTGAGTTCACAAACGCGTCAAAAAGCAGAAGAAGAAGCACCACAGCTATCCTAAAATGATGTTTCTGAGACTCAGGTCAAAAGGGTTAATGTTACTCTACTCCTCAGCTGGCCGGGAGGGTTGGAATTTTTTGGGTGAAACGTAGGACTGTTATCTGGTCGGCGAAAGGACTTTTTTTCCCCTCCTCCTCTTGCAGAGCAGAGTCAAAGCTTGAGGGGCATTCAACTCAAAAGAAAAGTTAAAGGGAGGAAAATTGCAAAAATTAAAGGACGGCCCTCCAAGGCAGCAAATAAGTTTCTAAAAACTCCAGATGTCAAACAAACTTCTGCTTTCTTTCTGGCCACTTTAAAATCTACTTGGGTTCAGAATCGGAGATAAACAAACCGAATGCATGGAGGCGACTGTGGGCTTACCTGCTGTGAGCTCCACAGACTTAAACTCAAAGGGGATCCCCAGCACTTTGGCAAAAAGGTAGACAGCACGGCATGGTGGGGAGAGCAGGTCGAGGTATATTTCCATGGCTGCAGCTGCGTTGCTCTGTGTGCTTGTTGCTCTAATGCTGGAACACTTATGCGCTCTCTGCCCAGGACCCCACCTTCCCTTGCTCCGAGACTGGCTGAGCTTTAAATGGTGGCGACAGTTCAAAGTAAACAGGCCGTCTTGGTTGAGCAGTCCGACCTTTGACCTAGGCTTAGTCCAACATTTTGTAAACACTGCTGTTATAATCACATTTTTATCTGCTTGACGAGCCTCTTGTCTGTAAATTACTGTCCTGTTTGTAATGAGCCTGCAGAGACAGTGAAAAGAGAGCCCGGTTTTACTCATTATCAGCGATCCCACTGTTTTATGCATTCTTCTGTCGCTGCATTGTTCAGGATCAAAGGTGCAAAACAGGTCGGTTCCCCAGGCCCAGCACTAATTCAGACTCTAGGTGAGTAGGAAGTGGGTGACCCTCATTTATTCACATACAGGCTGTTGAAGTGAGCTTGTTTGCTCATCAGTTCTGTATTGATTCTTTCACCATGTATTTCATAATAGCTGGACTTTGGGTCTCAAGAGTGTTCCCGTATTGTTTATCTTCCTCTGCCCTTTTCATTTCATTGTAGAAACATTCTCAAATGTTTGTTAATCATGCGATTTACCAGGATGAAATATAAAGTTCCTGGCTTGCTAAACCTTTGATTCGAGTTCCCTTAATCTGAGCCATTGACAGGTTCCCATTACAGTCTGCATCATGTGTTCATCAGTGAATAAACATGTAAACTTACAGATGGGGTCAAAAATATATTTCTTACAAAATGAACAAATAATTGATTGTCATAAGATAAGATAAGCTTTATGGATCTCACAGTGGAGAAATTCACTGGTCACAAATCGGTTTAGTGATTAAAGAAGGTGCAAACAAGGAGGAAAAGGTGAATAAAGTATAAACAATAAAAATTAATAAAAATACAAGGGAGTAACACAGAGATTTGAGGTGACATATGTACCATCAGGATGGCTTATATACAGTATACATATTGCACGGGTTATTGCACAGGTCAATAAATATAATATAATTGCACAGTAGTTGGTATAGGAGTTATTGCGGTTATAGTGCAGCATTGTATAGTCTGGTAGCAGCAGGAATGAATGGCCTGCGGTATCGCTCCTTTTTACACACAGGGTGTCTGAGTCTTTTGCTAAACGAGCTGCTCAGCTCCTCTACAGTCTGATGCAGGGGGTGAGAGGTGTTGTCCATGATAGATGTGAGTTTGGACAACACTCTCCTCTCGGCCACTTCTTCCACTGGTTTGGGGGTTGGCTTTATTGCTTCCCAGCAACAGGGTTTCTGTTTCAATTCCAGCTGGATGGAGTTTGCATGTTCTGTCTGGCTGCTTTTTATTTCCTCCCACTGTCCAGAACTGTTCCATAAATTGCCCGTAGGTGTAAGTGAGTGGTTGTCGGTCTCAATGTGCAGCTGGGCGGGGTGGTGAGCAGTGGGTGGTGGGCATCCCCCGCCTCCCGTCACCCCATGACAGCTGGGACAGGCTCCAACCCTCTGTAAACCTACTAGGAGTACGTATCATATTTTCCGCACTATATGGCACACCTAAAAGCCTTAAATTTCTCAAAATATATAGACTGTGCCCTTTATAGTGCGGAAAATACGGTAGGTGTAGAAAATGGATGAATGGACAGTTATCAATAAATAAATAAGGAAATTAAAATTATATCCTCCTGAGACCCAAAGAAAAAAAGTGTCTTCAAATTTATTTTTTGTTGTGATTTTCCATGTATTTGGACCTAAAAAAGAACATTACAATTTAATTTAAAAAAAAAAAAACTTTTAATTTTAATTTCATAGCATGTCCACTGTGGAGTACAACAGGACGATTTGCATGGGAAAATAGAAAAGGCTTTAGATAATTAAATAATGATGTCTTGAAAGGGATATTTACTTAAGAACTCTTAGGAAAAAAGTAAAGTTCCCAGCATGCAAACCTATCACATGGCACATCACTGGAAAGCCCAGGATGTCCTCTACAGAACATTATAGGGCTTGATAGGGTAACTCCAGATACTTAGGGGGGGTACAGGTGGATAAAATGTCCACTATAATGGACATAAATGAATTGGCCGGGTCTCAGGAGGATAAACTAAAATATTTATAAAAAGATTACATCTTTTGCTGATTCATCCATTTGGAGGTTTTCAGGCACACCCTACTAGTTAGAGACCCCAGGACTAGATGGAGGGATTATATATCCTCAGTGGGGAGAGGGATGTCTGTGTGTGTGCTCTGAGACGGTGCTTTAATGGAGACCTATTTATAAATTATCATTCATTTACTCTTTAATATTAGTTTAATGCTTTATACTTTCCCGCTGATTGGGGGCAAGAGATGCAGCATCTTTCTTTTCACCACTTTTCTAAGAGGAGTCAACAAAGGTCAACTGTGTTCCCTTCAGTTTGCAGCTTTGCAGGATCTCCAGTAGCCTCTGAGTCATCCACTCAGTCTCAGACTCTTTCTCTTTGCCCTGCAGGGACAAAACACAGTTTTTAAACAGTACACTCACAAATCACCTTTCCATGAAAACTACTGTATCTGACATAAGTCTTTACTGCCTTGTTTGCTAATGTTATTCAATTAAATGAAAGCTATCTAACTGTGAACCTGCAGTATTTAAGCTGTTTAGGCCAAAAATTACTATGCCAACTAGCCAGTTCAGGTCAATATAAACTCCCTTTTAACTGCAGATTCAAGGGGCTCCCCAGGGCGGTTTCCTGCAGTCTCCAACAGTCACTTAGGACAAAGGTTTGTGGTACTTGCATAACATCATCCACTTCAGAGGAGCATGTATTTAATTTAATAATTTAATAATCTAAATTGATTTTGTCGACTTAATCTCATAGCAATCTTAAAAGAACCCATCACAAATGTTTTTACATATTGTGCAAAGCTTAGTTTTTATTGAAATGTTTTTGTTTCATATTTGTGATTAGTTTATTATGGCACAACATAAACAGCTGACTGAACATCCACCAAGAGCCATGACTCCAAAACATTTGCCAGAAATTTCAATCTGACTTTCAGGACTATGAATCATCCTCTCTTTCTGGGAAATCTGCACAGATGTTTCAGTGTCCCAGATGTTTGTCTGCACTCTGTAAGGGAAGTGAGACACTAAACAGGTTTTTACCGAAAGAATGTGTGTGAGAATGATGGCCGCATCACGCCTCACTCCCTCCAGCCTCCCGAACCTTATCTCCTCCTTCTGTTGCTCCTCCTCCAGCTGCCTAATGACTTCTGACTTTTTATGGCATGCATCAGACACCGAAGCCAGACGCTGGCTGGAAGCACAAGAGATATCAGATAAAGGCTTATTATAAAAAATGTCACTTGTTTTTCTGCAGAATTCTGAAATGAATCCCAAACCTTACACACTACAGTAAGAAAGCTTAAACTCCGCTGACCTTCATTTCAGAGTTTGTGTAATAAGGTCCCTGATGTTCAGCTATGTAGTTAGACTCCCACCTGAGAGCTGTAATCCTGGCCTGTATAGTCTGCTGGGTGTTGTAAGACTCCTTCCTCTCCTCCAGAAGCTGATTTAACTTTTTCTTTTTCTGCTTCACCTTCTATAAATGATGAGACACTGAATGATGTGAATGACTTGTTACAATAAATATGTTGCACTTACTAACATAATAGGCTTAACATAATCATTGGATAAGTTTATCAGACAAACCAATAGTAACTATATAATTTCAGGTACCACTAAGATGAAAATGGGAGGTTTTCTTGTCTTAGTCCGTCTCTCCCTCCCTCCCTGTTTTATAATAGAAGTTGAGAGAGGTGTAAATCCATTCTGATCCTACCTTCTTTAACCCGACTCTCAGCTTGCTCTCCTCTATGATTCTCTTCTGCAGGTCACACTTGCAGCACAGTATGTCGGCCTCGCAGATCTGCAGGGCGTCTATCTCCTCCCGCAGGGTGGCGCCCTTATTCTGCATGAGCTGCAGCTGCTTCTGCCGCTTGCTGTGATCAGGCCTCTCCTTTAGAACTGCTGAGACTGTACTAAGCACGCCTTTCTCCAGGTTTTCCTCCAAACTCTGAAAAGACCTGTGGGGCAGGCCATGGGAAGGCGACAATTGCAGGAGAAACTGGCTCACGTCTGAAAACTTCAATCAGATAACTGTCTCTCTGCTTTACTTTGCCTTCTCCGACTCTAACACTAGCTTCAGGTTTTGAATGGCAGACTTGTGCTCCTCTTTCTTCAGGGCCAGCTGAATCTCCTTTGAATTCAGGTCACATGTCTGCTGCTTCATTCGGGCCAGTTGCTGGCCCTGCTCCTCCAAAGTCGCAGCTAAAAGACACAGAGATGGTTCATCCAAACTGGAACGATCGGCGATGAACAGTGGTTTAACATCCCACTTCCTCTTTAGGTTTGATTCATTCCAGCCAGATTGGACATAAAGGTCCCAGGAACTAACCTGGTTTCTTTTGTGTCAGGCTTTGCCCTTTTGTGATGTAAATCTCAGTTATAGTGAGTCTTTCCTTTAGTTTCTGTCTCTGTGGTCGAGACTGGCCTTCTACTGCCATTTAGCTGTCATTTCTGTTGATTCTAAACTTTGTGCAGATGGTTCGCTCATCTATTTTTTTCACAGTTTTGTCAGTCAGGCTTTTTATATATACTTCATAACTGCTTATGCCAAACACTTGTCATTTGACATCCTGGCTCTCACTAACACCTGAAAAAAGTGCTACACCAGCTGCACTTTCAATCAACCACACATTCTCCCACACCTCTCATACATCTGGGCGAGGTGGCGCAACAGGCTTGCTAATTTTCAACCAACTGTCGCCTAATGTCAAATACAACACTTCTAAATACCATGCCATATTGGTAAACTGCACCAGTGAAAATTTGCATGATTGAGATATACCGCCCACCTGGACTCCTCTGATTTTTTAACATTAATGAACTCTTTTGACCTACAACTGGTCAGCAGTCCTCCTACTCACAAAGCTGGCAAAG